GTATGCAATCCTTTTCTTTACAAACTAAGGCCCTCCGACACTAGATGTTATGGTTCTGATAACAGCAATCTCTAAATTAGGTTGGATAAGTAGAAATTGTGTTTTATTTTTATACAATCGATAGTATGTAATATATGATGTTTGGTCAGTAAATTAGGAAGGGTAACATCAATTGTGTGGTTGAAAGTCTGTGTATGTTGAAACTACGTGTCTTCCAGCTTGTGCGTAACAATGAAGGAGAACAAAATTTTGAAGTACTCTTGGAAATAAACTATGTAATACTTTCAGCTGCTGAATTAGGTTTTCCCCCGATTTATAGATTATGTACCATTCAGTTTCTTGGTGTCTCTTACCTTGTGGGGCGGTGGGGTAGCCTTGTAGTTGAAGAGTGTGTTCATCATGCGAAGACCTGGGATCGATGCCGCACATGGGTACAATGTGTGAAGCCCATTTCTGGTGGCCCCCGCCGCAATATTGCTGGAATATTGCTAAAAGCGGCGTAAAACTAAACTCACTCGCTCACTCCCTCTTACCTTGTGCTGGTCTTCAACCTTCCTGGGCTTCCTGCACTGGATGGTCCAGACTCGATTATTTTCAGACCGCCGCCATATAGCTGGAATACTGCTGAGTGTGGCGTAAAACTCAACTCACTCACTCACTCCTGCAGCTTGTAGGTTGTTATCTTGCAGGTATATGATGTAATGATTTCATTTGCCTGTGGGCTCACTAAAACCCCTCAGTAAGTATATTGCTTGTCAGAATAGAATTTTAAATGTTGTGATAACAACCACTGAGTGATTGGCATGTTAACTTTATTTGACATGTGGACATGTCGTACCAGGAGACATGCTGCACTGAGCTTCTGTCCATAAATCAAGGTGAATTCTTATGTCTCAACCACACAAATAAATTACAACATCCACAAAAAGGCGCACCAAAATACTTGAAAATTATGTACTTGGCAATTGTTGTTGAAGTTGCAATATTTCCATGTGAGTGTCAACTCTTCAGGTGTTGGGACTAGGAAGACCCCCGACTGAGCTGACAGAATGATCTTAGTAGAAGTGCAGTGTATGTATTAGTGTTGGGAATTATTTAAAATCTCATAATTGATGATTGGTTCATTATAACCGATCAATCATCGAAAATAATTGGTTAGTGTCATTTATCAAATTTTCCTGTTATGTTTGTTAATGGACAAAAGGTTTTGTTTTGTTTTTTACATATTACACAAAATGCATTTGCAAATTACACATTTTTAAAGGATTACTAGTATGTTAGGAACATAAATTTCCTGGAGTCTTTAAGATAAATTCAATCATGACTTGAAACGAGCTCGAACTTGTAGTGCTTATGAAATGTAAATTTAATGACACAAGACAAAATCAACCTTGTGAAAAATATTGTTTATACAAACAAGTGTTCAAAAATTGTTTGTGTTCGAATATGAGAAAACACGATCGATTGCTTGGTTGTTTTGTCACTGCGACCAATCTTCGATTATTTGGAGAAAAGGCACATGGAGCACAGTGGTGTAGTGCTTAGCATGGTGGCCTCTCACGCCAAAGGCCCGGGTTTGAATTCCGGTGGAGACACCAAAATTTGTGACCTAGGTCTCATACTGTGTTGTGTCCCTGGGCAAGGCACTTCGTCCACATAGCACTCAGTCCACCCAGCTGTTTAAAATGGGTACCTGAGAAGCGGATGTATGGACCTATACGGTCACGCTTCCCGCTACTTTGAAAGTAGAATTCAGTCAGGGTAATAATGTAACGCCAGGGAACAGCATTGCGTTGGATCCATGGTGCAAAAATTAGCATTATTATTATTTCAATTACTCCACTAGTATGTACATGTTTACAGTTCTTCATTTGAATACTGCTACATTAGCCACTGTGGTTAGTTCTACAGAGAACGACTACTGAGAAACATTTACTGGTCCTGTGGAAACAGAAACAAGCTGGTTGACTGGTCAAGTATCTGACCTAACTTGGCATGAGGAATGCATGATAGATGCCTAATGAGTGGAGGATTTTAATATCAGGTTAAAAACTTGTTGAATATGGATAGTAAAATACAGTTATCTCAGATGTGGGCAATCTTATTATAAGTATACTGACCATGGGACATAGGTTTTTGTTCATTTACATATTGTTATACATGTATGAAATGGATTACATTAGAGTAGATAGTGAGATGTTTGTTATAAGATAACTTCAGCTCTTTGGGTGTGTAAGCTAAAGCATGACATTTGCTTTTCTCAAGTAGGTTCTGAAGTAGGTAATCCGCTCTCAAACTGCTATTGTGTAGGTTCCCTTCAGATTAGCCTTGCTCCAAGGCTGTACTGAAGGCTAAGCCCATGGACGTATAGTAATTCTATCCTTTAAAGAAGCAAGTCTGGATAAGTGGATGCCAGTCTGTTCGAGATATATTTTCATATTTTTTAGAAATTATCATTTAAACTATTTAATTATTAACTTAGGGACTTGTGCAAGTTTACATTCAGATTTCCACTTCAACATTAGGCAATGACAATGTTACAAGGGTCCTTCACTTGTATCTTTCATGCCTTGTTTCAAACACTGAAAACAGAATGCGATGTGGGATGTCAAGAACGTCACTTTTATCGAGCAGTGATTGAAGGTGCCCCCCTGTAGTGGAGAATATGACGTTGGTGCCACTTGTGTGCAGTAAACAGCAGTTACGATTCGCCTTTGCTCAGGGACTGTCTGTGAGGACAGTTCCTGATGAGACTCTCCCTTGCTCCGGGCTCAGACCTGATATCCTCATGCATGGTGCACACTAATTGATTCTGGTTATAGCAGTTTAATGAGTTGAGGAGCTTAGGGAAAACCTAGTAATTCTAAAAGATGGAAGAAAATGTTCTCCATCATGTGTAATGACTTCTGCAATTATCTGGGTGATACTTCATTGATGAATATTGCTGACGAGGGATAATCTGTCATTTTGTCAGATCAACCTCTGCATTTAACCACACTGCCACCTGCCAGGTGTCAGTCTGTCAGTGTCATGAGGCATGGTTAGTTATGTTTGTATGTTGAGTATCTCTAGAGATTCAGGGTCATGGTCAGTTAGCTCTCTGTACTTCATACCTGCTTGAGGAAGACACCTGCAACATTGTAGCATTGTGGGAAACACTCTTATAATTAGTCTCTGGATTGGTTGTCAGGGGCGTAGCTACCATTATTTAAAAAAACCCAGGCTTACACATGATTTTGGCTTAAAAGGTTACACAAGCCCTCAATATTGTCTAACTATAAAGCTTTGCAACCTATCTGGCCTACACGAAAAAACTGGCTTGCTATGCACCTGGTTGTATGAATGTTACACTAGTATGAAGAATGGTGATTCTTGTACTTAAAATGGTTGTGTATTTTATGGCACAATGGTTCTAGTGTCAACATGGTATTTTAGGGTTGACTTATGACAGTGGACATATCTCTTCAAGTAAGTGTAATCTTTTGACGAAAAGAAGATTATTTTAGCTCATTAGAGTTCTGAACAATCTGTTTTGGTTGTATCTCTTCTGTATACAGTGTACTTACTCTGTCAATACCGGTATCACTCGGGACCAAATAAAAATGCCGGTTTTGAGAGAGTGCCGGTTTAGGCAGGTTGCAAGTCCGCTTATGACGCCGGCGCAAACGGCAAGTTCACTGTCTTACTGTCACTTTAGCATTAACAACATGTTTGAATGAGAAACAAGGCAGTGTCTGAATGCACATTCATGTTTATTCATTCAAATAAAAATGTCTGAAAACACTTATTAAATTTCAACTGATGATATATTATCGGCAGAATTAAAATTATAAACTATTCTCAATTTATTGAAAACAACAATTCTCGGACACATGCTTCCGGCAGCGGGTCCACAATAACATTGTCAAAGAGCAAAGTAACACGTACCTCTCACTAATTAACAAGAAACTGATTGACACTTCCCGTTTCTGAATAATCTCGGGAGTAACCGCGAATTGTGTTGTTACATCATTTGGGCCTAATTGCATCAAAGGGTTGCGTCGTCCTTCATGTGCCGGTTTTTAAGTCCACTGTAGTTAGTCTAACACTGATAATAGCTCACCCTCACTCGTCTTCCACAGTATGAAGTTCAGGGTTGGATGGTCTTCATCAACCCAGGCTTGTAAGAGGTGACTAACCAAATCTGGTGGTCTGTGTCTTTGACTTGCATGGCATCATATCCTGTTAGTTACTTTTTCCTTTGACGACATTTAAAGATTAGATGACAATGTGGTCCTGAATGTTTTGACACTAGATTTCAATGTACAAATTAAGATTTTCTGGCAATAAACATAAGTAAAGTAACAATCTAAATAAATATGTTGTCACTTTGGTCTGACAATTAGTGTTAGAAAGTAGGTGTTGCCTTGAAAAGACCCCATGAGAGACCATTAAAGGACCTACATTTGGTTGCTCCAGGTTTGAATAATCTCTGGAACTCAAGGCAGTGTGTTTAGATGATGAACTGAAAATCAATGGAATATATATATAGTCCATTCCTGGTGAATTGGCAACCCTGAAGGAATGAAGTAAGCATTCACTTGACGAGAAGGTTTATAAAGAATAATATTGATCTGTAGGTGACCAATACATTTTTCTGGTATATATATTCATAGTTTTAATGTATCTTGTTTGTGTGCCTTACTTCACAAATGAAATGTCTGTATATTTGTAAATGATACTAGTTTTAACTGGAAAGAAATTGTTTTATGGGAAATCAATATCTTGTTTGATTCTGAGTTTTTGATGAAACTCTTTTGTACGTTCTGTTCCAGAGCCTGGTTTCAAGATGGTTGAAATCCATCAGCAAATATTCTACGTCGTTAATGTTCAGTTTTTTGTCCGAGAATGTAAATCATCATCCTTATTGATAAAATGCCAATGTTTCATTTTATACTCGATGATCAAAGTTCTATTCCTCATCAATGAACATTCAAACCAATTACTGTTACTTGTTTCAGAGTCAAAGCATTCATCTTGACTGCCTGCTGCCAATGTGTTGAGCAGCGGTACTCGGCATCTCCTCGGTCACCATCCCACGTCATCCTCTGGTGGCCATCCTCATCAACTGTGGTGACCATCGTCATCACCATCGTCAGTGGTGACCTTCGTCGACATCTTCCCCTGTGGTGTCCACTACCTGCTCATGGTCAGTGGAGTAGCCAGTGTTTGAGTGGGACTGAATGTTGGGGCTGGCCATTCTCTCGTGTAGGTGCCTCAAGCAGCCGTAGACAGATTCCACAACACAAGTGAGTCGTTTGTTTAATTCTGCACTCAAATAAATAATGGCATCAGTAAGCAATCCAGTAGAGACAACCCAGTGAGTGATATTGTTTGTTTGATGTTCTGAATGCTGCTCGGCAATATCCCAGCTGTATAACATCGTATGTAAACAGTCTAGTCAAGACAGACAAACCTTTGATTGATAATATAAGTGATGTACCGAGGTATGATGACCTGCCGTGAAACTAGTATGTCTGCACTAGTATGTACTACCAGCAGTGCTGAACGTAGCATTATGATTCAGCATTTAAATAATGCTTTACTTCCTGAGAATAGCATATCTCTATTGCATCATTTGCAATATTTTGACTGTCAGTATAAATATTTTTTCGTCTTTTCTAGAGATGAACACATAAACTGTTCAATATTTCATCACCAAACTTGGCACATACATACGGTCTGGTGGTAAACTGGTACCTTTTGGTAGTTTTGGACTTCTGAATAAAATATATTTTGCGTTTCCAGGGTGCCGTTGTACAAAGCGATCTTAACGCTAAGGTGACCGTAACTCCCATACTTTAACATAGACTTAAGGTAGCCTTAGCGCTAAGGTTGTTTTGTACAACGGCACCCTGGGCAACAAGTTTGACTTTGACTGAAATTGGTGGTACTGTTTCTCTCCAGAGCAGAACTTTAAAACCTTTCAATACTCTCTTTCCATTTTGTGGGCATCCAAGAACCCAATGACATAAATCAACAGGACCACTCTATTTCCAGTATCAACATTACTTAGGTACATCATACCATACATTTGACATTGCCATAACTAGTTGACATATTCTTGAAGAGTATTCTACCATTGCGGGGGATATTGCTGACTTTGTCTCCATGTTTGTCTTGTTGCAGGTGTGGCCCCTCCAAGTTGTTGCTTGATGAGGGTTGCTGTGGGTGCTGGGTGTGTGTGTAGCTCCATCTAGGAAATGAAGTATACCTCTGTACCAGGACCTCCAACTGTCAACATGGCTGAATACAATGTAAGTAAAACATCTTTACTTGGCAGGATTTCTTTTTACTTGTTTGAGGATTGTGGAAACAAAAGTTTGTTGGATGAGATATAATCTTTCGTAAGGGCCACAATTTTGCCTGAATGTGCCATGTTTTATACACATTTAAGATCAGGTATTCTTTGGCTATTCATGAAATGGGAGTCAATTTTCTTTTACTTGATTCACTTGATTGTTTCAAGTTTTAGAATTGAAGGCCTAAAACAAGAAAGAAAAGCATTATTTGTGTATAAAGTAACCTCATTGACCCTTTGTCTCATCTCTTTGGTTTTAAAACATCAGGAGACATCCATCAAAACAAGAAACCCATGTTTCACAGGGAGGCTATACAGTATCTTTCTGCACATTATCATTGTAGCTGTTTCAAAGCCACAAATTCGAGAAAAATTGTTGATAACATCATTTCTAAACAAGCCATGTGTGTTAAACATTATTTAATAACAAGAAGTTATTTTGAGAAAAACAGGCCTGAATACACACCAGTTGTATTTGTCGTGTGACACACAAGTGCTGTTTTATTGGCCTAATACATAGACAGTTTGTCTCATCATGGACCAACTCAAGTTGAGACAGGATTTGACAGTCTGGTGGGATGTTTTTATTCTGGGGATGTTTGTCAGTGATGTTGGGAATCATGGAATGTCATTTGATGGTCGTTGACGCTAACCAAGTTTTAAAAAATCAGTTATCTTGTCATCAGATCGTGTTTTTTCTTCATTGAGCCTTGTATTGCTGTGGTGGCTGTTGAACCTTCAGCCTCATGGACGTATTTAGGGTGCCTTAGCTCAGAACCTAGGATGAGGACATATGTTGTGTTACACGGCCTATGTTGTATGGTTGTACTGCTGGACTAGGGTGTACATGGAAAAGCTCCTGTAGCACCGGTAAGAGAACGAGTCTTTCAGATGCTCCTCTGGGCTACAATATGTAATGTTCTTGAAATACGTATGCCAACATCATAATTGTGTGCTATGGTTCTCTTTCTACATTAAGCTGACATATAACTGAGTTATCGTTCCAAAAGGCATAATACCACTCATTTACTTGTAGCTGCAACCAGGCACTCAGTTCCTTTCTTCAATAACCCTACTGTCCAGGTGTACACTTCATTGACAAACTCAGCAGCTGATATGGTGGATGATGTATGAAGCTGTCAAAAGAGGCTTAGTTGATGATGACTAGCGATGAGGTTGTCCAATTTTGTTCTTTCAGCAAGATGTTGCATGCATGATAGATGTATCCTCTTTCCATAGGAGATGAAATAGTAGGATTTAGTAACCTGTCTTAGGGACATCAAACTTGTCTTGATTGGGACTGGTGAGATGTGTTGTACAAGATATTAGATATATGCAGCTAACACGCACTTGGTAAGACTCGTGTCTTTGGAACTTATTGAACTTATTGAACTAGGGTTCTGTCGGTGAAATACTTGAATATATTACTGGACAAGGTAATCATTGGTTTGGAAGTAGTTGTGTGGGCAATATTACACGGTAAGACTGAGCAGTGTAACATTACAGCAATACAGTATTTTGTTCTGATATGAGGTTCACATAGCACAGTTTGTTAAACCAATCCTGTCTCATTGGCTGTCTTATGGCTAGTTTTGTTACTCACTCACCTTAGATAGACCTGTTTGAGAAACCTGAAAACTGGGAAATGTCTTCAAGAAAGGAGATGAAGTTGCTTTTAATCAGGAATTGGCTTTGCCCCTGAGCTTGAGCTATGGAGCAAGCATGCAAACTTCTTGAGATGCTCCCCTGTGGGTTCATGGTCATGGTGTGAATAGTCAAATGTCTGTTAGCTGTAAAGTACTCTTCACACCATCATCCACGTTTCCAATTTATTGCAAAGCTTTTATACCATTTCAAGGGTTTAAAGTCATCCTTTGTGATGTCGGGTTCGTGCTTGAATTGCTTGACAAAAATCATATGTTCAGAATGCCTGTGATCAGTTAAGGAGAGTGGTAATTAAGTAGTTTTCCCAGGGTTGTTTAATCTTTGCTGAGATATGCTACTGAGTTGGCTAAGGACATAAGACGGTGGTCCTTCATTTTTATACATAAAATCTTGGATGACAATCTTTCCCTGAATTCATTATATGGACAGGAGACCAAAAATGAGCAGCAAACAACACTGTCTGTAGATTATGAATAAACACAACAGATAGCTGGTTTTCAGACATGAAAATATCATTCAGTACAATTTGATACAGTGTCTGAAGCTGGTGAGGGTCCATGAGGTTCTTCTTTTGTAGAAATTTAATCAAGAATCAAGATCCTCAAAATTAACATAAACGTGATGACATGGACCATACAATACCAGATGCACACCTACCTGTATCAATTCATACTTAAATTGGTTGTTGTTTCACACAGGGACATATGTGTTCCTATTCAACTTATAGAATTATATTTTATTTTACTTAGTATGGGTGCACATGAGAGGTATTTAACCAACAGGGTAATTTATTAAAAACATAAATAGAAAATACATGTGTTGACACTCTGGTACTGTCTGAAATTGATTGATTGAAAAAATATTCATCCAGTTATTCAGGAAGATTCAAGCCTTTTTTCATAGTTTTTACATGCAAAATCTCTGTGACTTAAGTATCGCAATGTGTATTGTATCTTGAAGGTTTGTGGCCTGTATCATATCAGTAGATACTCAAGACCAAGACATCCATAGTATGGGAGTTAACTGTTACTGAAATGTAAGTGGGGCCAGGTGATCAGTGATGATGTTTTGATTATGCAGGTACTCTCCCAATTTCCTCTGCAAAGGTAAGTGCACGGAGATGCAGGAAAGTTGAGGTGCATTTTCTACTTCATTGTTTCACATGGAAACATCAAGAAATGTAACGAAACATTCACATTCAGAAAGCTTGATTACAAATGTGAATATTTGGAACAATACCAGTGTCTACATGACACGTTTTAATGGATAACAACTTTTTTATATTCTTTATACTACGTTTCAGAGCTAATTCTTGCTCCTTCATCAGGTTAATCACCAGTGTCAATTATCATCAAATGCTGGTTGCCACGAGATACCTACCGGTAATTATTTTTAGAGAATGGGAGAAGTCATAAATCTTGACCTTTTGGATGATTACTTTTGGGAACACCTAATGTATGCTACGCACGCACACACGCACACACACATGATGAACAAGTAGTGGTAAGTTAATCCAGCCCCTGTAGAAGATGTTGGTTTAGAATTGGTCCCCCAGCAACCTGTGCTTGTCTTGAGGGGTACCTAAATGGTTTGGGTTGTCAGGCTCTCTGATGGTGTAGATTGTTGCTGACAATATTGATCACATGATTGACTGGTCCAGATTCAGTTATTTTCAGTTTGCTGTCATATTGCTAGAATATGAGGTTTCATACAGTTGTGGTTCACATTGCTTTTCTTGGTTTGGAGTAATCTGCTTATTGTTACTAACAGAGGAATCCATTGATTACTTGGCAGTGTAATCAGTGCGAGGACAATTAATTAGGATTTAAAAGTACTTAGATCAGCCAAATATTCAGCCAAATCTCCTGTCATGGAAGTTACCTGTCATTTGTCTCCAGCTGTTTTTCAATGGACATGTTGTTAATGTTTAAAATGGGTCTTACTATGACTTCTCAGATTGGCATTCTAGAAGTTGGGTAGATGAAAATGAGGACTATTTTTATGGATATACAACTTCTTTATTCTGTATAGGTGACGTTTCGACATAGATTCTAATGTCGTTGTCAGAAAGTGGTACATGAGAGGTAATTTTGGTTTTACCAAGGTAGGATTCGCTACAGTCGCCTGCGGGATCCGGCTTCTTTGCTGGGGTGGGTCTGCCTGTGGCCTGCAGGAGGTTCTGTATAGTGGTGAATTCTACATTGGTGAAACCTCATGACCAGTCACCATTAGGATCAAAGAACACCGGGCCTCAGTAAGAAACAAAGACTCTAAGTCCGCCATAACTGACCACCTCAAAGCCAACAACATCAGTTGGAACACCACCAAGGTCATCGAGAGGAACCAGGCTGATTTCAAAACCCCTAAATTACTTTAAGCTGTCCACATAAAGAAGATTTGCTCAGCTATCAACAGAGATAAAGAATATTTAATCGCCAAGGCCTATCATCACTTACTGAATTAATTAATTTCATGTAACTTACTCAGCCATTGTACATTATCCTTGTACAACATCACTTCACTATTGGCTTCCCAACAGTCCCTTTATCACCATATGTAAACAACCTATGTACATCATTCCCTACTGTCTGCCCATCAACATCCTCAATCTCTTATCTATACAACCTATCTACCTACCTAATCCTGTGTTATCAACCTCTTCTATTGTATAAACAACTCATTTTCGCCTCATCCCTCATCTATTGTTCAAACATATCTCATGTATATATATCACCCAAAATTACCTCTCATGTACCACTTGCTTGACAACGACATTAGAATCTATGTCGAAACATCGCCCATACAGAATAAAGAAGTTGTATATCCATAAAAGTAGTCTTCATTCCTCATTCTTGGGTCTTACTATGTTGATAAGCCATGAACTATATTATTGCTTAACATTTCTCATCTTTACCCCTTATATAACATGTTCCTGCAGCTATACGTTATGTCAAGATGTGGCTGAAATATTGCCAAAGTGACTTTTAATATTTCTTCACTCCCTCACTCTGGCAGTTACATGGTTGGCAGCAGTGCTCTGTGAAATCTTTATTCAAAAGTGACTTTGGTATTTTAATTTTTCTTGAATTTTCTCTATTCTGGAGCCAGATAAATATCATTGGTGTTTACGATGCATTTGATCCCAGTATGGAGGATACCATTTCCTGAGTAGTAAATCATTGGCGATCAGTAATGCATAGTGTTGGGTCACTACGACCAATCTTCAATTATTTCAATTAATCAGACCACCACTAGTAATGCATCTTGATCTGTCTATACTTATTTCTTAAAGTAATCAACAAGAATTGCTGCATTGAAACTAAAAATATAGCAACACGGAAAAATAGGTAGAAGTTATGTTTTAAGCAGTTTGCCTTTTCCAAACTTTCATGTTTATGTTTGAATTTTCATTACTAGACCTTCAAAGAACATAAAAGGTACCCTAACATCAGTAAGATATATCTGTATTATGATACCATATACTCCTATGCTCTCAATATATCTTTTATTCCTTTATCTTGTAACCTGTAATTGGTACAGATAATGGGTATGATGAGAAATAGAATTGATCTTGTCTGGAGAAGATAAATTCAATGAACAATGCAAAATGTTTTTGCCATCAGACGTAAGGCGATTTTCTCAATAGAAATGAAGAAAGCTTGATAGAACTGTAAACCTGATCTGACAAGCAGTGTGTTAATACTTGCATATATACATTTAGGTTGGTATCATGTTTTGTCTGATTGTCCAGCCAGCGCTTGCAGCTCCAGACTTCTTCTCGCTGCCCAGTCTTATTTTCAGACTTGAGTAATGTGAGTCGTGACACATAAGGCTCACAGGGGCTTACTGTAAGCATATTAAGGAAAATCAATGTAATCTCCTTGCCTTGCATTTAATCACCTAGTAAGTATGGTAAGGAATAGGTCAGCAGCTCATTCACTGGAGGATTCTGAAGGTGGTGACGAGTGATTGGGACAAGTTCTACGTGTGATGCCTACAGATTTCACAGATTAGGGCTCAGATGGTCCATAGTGAAGGCGACTTTCCATTCCACAGATGAGGATGGGGGTAGCTGGAGTCATTGTTGTATCAGATAACAGGGATAGACAAAGTTTACAAATGTGGCTTGAAAGGTAGAAGACTATTGTTGTCTCCGAGGATGGAGGTAGAAAACTCCATTGTTGTCTCAAAAGGTAGAGAGGGTAGAAGACTTGTGCAGAGAGTATTACTGCATGGTACTGCAAAACGCTTATCAAAATATGTGCATTCACTCACAAATGGTATTTCCCTTCTAAACTGATGAACAAAACGGAATCGAGGAAGTGATTTTGCTCTAATGTTGTTGTTTCCTCTGTGACCATGACTACCAAGTGGTAGAGCAACTGACCATACTGAAATCAAAATTGTTATTTTTCTTTAGTGAGTATGAAATAAGATCTGAACGTAGAATCAGTGTCAATCGCTATTAAATACTTTAGCTCCCAGTATGTCACTATAAATCTTATCATTATATGGATAACTTTATTGCAATATTTAGCAATACAATTTTTAACTTGATAGACTCACTGGACACTAGGGGCTAAGTTGACCCAGGCATTGAGATTCACAATGCAGAGTTTCCCCTATTTATGCTGGGATCCATTGATTGTGGGTTCAGATCTCAGACGAGGATTGAGTAGGATCCTGTTATTGTCAGCACCACACCCATTCTTGTAATTTTTACCAACGTGAGTAGACGCAATATGATTGTGATTTCTGTGAATAATGTGGACCGGAGTTATAATTATTGGTAAATGCCAGTTGTCTGATGGTCTGAGTTGGCTGCAATTAGGACCCCATCACGGGGGGTCAGCTTATGTACGAAACATACCAGTTTGATACTGATTTTAAGGGTCAAGTTAAGGGGTCGGCTCATCTATGGGATCGGCTTAACTATGGTAATATATGGTAAACATCAAGGACCAACTATGGTATATGGTAAACATCAAGGACAAACTATGGTAGTATATGGTAAACATCAAGGACCAACTATGGTAGTATATGGTAAACATCAAGGACCAACTATGGTAGTACAGTGAAGCCTCGTTAATCCGGACGGTTGCGTTTCTCAGTAAATTCGTCCGGATTCCGAATAGTCCGGACTACTGAATCAAGACCCAAGTTGCTTCCCTAAGAATTACAAAAACGACACGAATCTGGATAAAACAAATAAGCATTTAATGTAAAGCTTAATTCATCACATCAATAATTTTACCGAGTGACATCTGCATGTTGATCCGACGTGTCTGATCACGTCCTTCCTCAGCACAGGTGAGGTAATGTCTAACAAGCGATCTATTGTAGTATGCCTTGAATGTCCGAATTATTCCTGCATCCATCGGGTTGAATATGAGACGTGGTATTTGGTCACATTTCGCAGTTAGCTGCTACACTTGTGACTTGCAGCATTGTCATAAAGCAAAATCACTTTTAGTCCACGCGGACCGATCTGTCTGTCAAAGTACATTAACCAATCACAAAACAGCTCACTTTGTCATCCACGCCTTTGTTTTGTGGTGTCAATCAAAGTGTAAATGTACAGTATCTTCAGTCGGGAGCTTTTTATGTCTAACTAAAACAACAACCCAGTTGGCCAGTTATTTAAGTAAACATCGCCGGGCGGTGTTGTTACGGTTCGTGAACACGACTTACAGCGTCCGGACTTTGAAGCAATTTACTGTTTATTTTGCTGATTGGTGACAGCTACTTACCGACCGGTTCCGGAAACCGAATTTCCGGATTATCGAGGCAAATTATATAGGCATAGATTGGTAACAAGCTGAAATCGCCCGGGAGGCGAGACATCCGGATTATCGGAGTCCGAACTAACGGGGCTTCACTGTATATGGTAAACATCAAGGACCAACTATGGTAGTATATGGTAAACATCAAGGACCAACTATGGTAGTATATGGTAAAAATCAAGGACCAACTATGGTAATATATGGTAAACATCAAGGACCAACTATGGTAATATATGGTAAAAATCAAGGACCAACTATGGTAATATATGGTAAACATCAAGGACCAACTATGGTAGTATATGGTAAACATCAAGGACCAACTATGGTAATATATGGTAAACATCAAGGACCAACTATGGTAGTATATGGTAAACATCAAGGACCAACTATGGTAATATATGGTAAACATCAAGGACCAACTATGGTAGTATATGGTAAACATCAAGGACCAACTATGGTAATATATGGTAAACATCAAGGACCAACTATGGTAATATATGGTAAACATCAAGGACCTGCATGTCATTTTGCTTCCTTCTGCAACAGCTGATAGTGACTCCATGGAACTGTGAACGGAGATGCTGTTCAAAGTGATCTGAAGCCAGCCTGCTTACTCTAAGAAAAGCAAAGACATCTAGGATAAATACTTCTGTGAACAAGTTACTTACTGGTAGTTTGCAGTTTTACAGGCAAAAAAAGATGGCATTAAGATGTGTACAAGACATCTTTAAAGGAAATTTTGTAGGTATTGATGCGATATTCATCATCATTATAATCTGGAGAAAAACATATACATATTAGATGACAAAAACAAACTATGTTGCACCTCATAAGGAAAACATGTTTTTACCTTTTTATAGTTGATGTGTTATTTGTATGTTAGTGTATTTAGATATGCAGTGCGTTTTTATAGGAATTGGCATCAACTGATGAATGACCTCTACAGGAGCATCAGTTCATGCACCTGAAGCTGATCTGTTGTCATTAAAACATGCAGTGCATACCATAACAAGTAGTTGGCGCCGGTCCATCTGTATATTTGTTCCAGTGAGGTTGTAGAACCAATGAAAATTTAGTGAAGCACAGACACTCTATAGTTTGGCATGAAATGCATGTGGACCCGTTTTTTTTGTAAATATCTCTTCATCCAATGACCCAATTGATCTCAAACTGTGCAAGTGGATATTTTGTCAGACAACCTAATCACATTGTAAATCACCGATTTTATGCATTTGTATTGAAGAATCTGTCTATGTTACTGTCAACAAAATCAACAGCAGAATGCTTGCAGAGGGAGGGAGCCAATGACA